GGGGGGGGGGGGGGGGGGGGGGGGGGTTGGATGGCAACCACAAAATTAAAATTATGCTCATGCCGACCACGTGAACCCTTGTGGCCCGGCAGCTGGTGGATATGAGCATAATTTCAGTCATCCGGTAGCAGGGTATATGAATAATTTGGCCGGTCCACCTCAGTCCCGGGTATGCCCATAATTTTGCCTGGGTATGTCCGTAATTTGTGCATTCTGGTAGTTGGTTATAACTGCAATTTTGTGCCCTCGTATGGCCATAATTTTGCCTGGGTACGTCTGCAATTTGCGCATTCCGGTAGTCGGTTATAACTGCAATTTTGTGCCCGCGTATGCACATAATTTTGCCTGGGTACGTCTGCAATTTGTGCATTCCGGTCGTTGGTTATAACTGGAATTTTGTGGTACCGACCTGGGTCCATCTCAGTCCTGGGCATGCAAATAATTTCCACCGGCATTTTTCCGGGTATAGGTGCAAGTTGGCACCGGGACTGGCTATAGCGTGTACTCCCACCCTAAGTGGGGCACAGATGCAATTTACCCTCCCTCCTTTTTTTTCTTTTTTTTTTTTGGTGTGGGGGAGGGGGGAAGGGGGGGGGGACCACATTCTCTTTCTGCAAATAGCGAGCAGTCCGATCTTCTTCGAACTTTCTTCTTTTTCAGCGGAGATTATTTTTATATTATATAAAAAAAATAAAGGTTCTTATAAAAAGAATGAAGAGAAAAAAAATATATCAAACAATGATTCATTTGAAAAACGAAAAGAATAAAAAAAAGGAGGAATTGCAATGGACACGTGCCAAAACATGTGAGACTATAAAAAAAGTGAGATCGACTGTGCACACAACATGTGCTCTTTTCATTGAGCAAAACTGCCACGTGGCGCTCACAGCGTCGGCGATGCTGCTACATTGCTTACAGACCTGACATGTACGAAAAGGGGAACGACGAATTTCCATCCATCCCTCATACTGCAACTTTCCAGGCCGTATCTGGCCATGATTACAAACAGATTCAGTCCAAAGAGTCGTCTTGTGAGTATGCCCTTTAGCTGCTTTTTCGCACCGTCAGCAGGGATAGACGCGTGGAATCACTCATAAACAACAAACACTGAATAAAGTAGAGAATAGGCCCCCACAACACGACTCTTTGGACTGAATCTGTTTGTAATCATGGCCAGATACGGCCTGGGAATAAGATATGGCCAGATAACACCCCCTCACAACCGATACCTTATGTCCCCGC